AGGAGGAAGAGGAGGAGGAGCAGGAGGAGGAGGAAGAGGAGGAGGAGCAGGAGGAAGAGGAGGAGGAGCAGGAGGAGGAGGAGCAGGAGGAGGAGGAACAGGAGGAGGAGGAACAGGAGGAAGAGGAGGAGGAGGAGCAGGAGGAAGAGGAGGAGCAGGAGGAGGAGAAGGAAGAGGAGGATTTATGGCGGGGGGGGGGTGCCCTGGGACAGGTTCTTAGGGACATAGCCCAGGCTGGTGTTGACCTCACAACCTTCCACCTCCCAAGGGCTGGGATTGTAGGCACACTCCCCAACACTCAGCTCAGTTCTTTCTTTCTTCCTTCCTTCCTTCCTTTCTTCCTTTCCTTTCCTTCTTTTCCCCCTGTCTCTCTCTAACATTTTGCAAACACGCAAGGTCCATGTCTGCTCCCACAGGCTGGCCAGGTACCTGGTCTGGGGTCGGCTTGGGTCAAGCCCAGGGAACAAGGAAAGGAAGATACAGACCCCTTCCAAGGACATCAAATATACATACACAAAGACTGGGCAGAGGGCACAAGCAGTCCCACGGCACAGGGGCAGGGGCCAGAGGAAGCCAGTCTGAAGCCAGTCTGGGCTCAGAACAACTCCAAATGACAGCGACCGGCGGCTCCCGCCTGCCATCCCAGCTACTCAGGAGGCTGAGATCTGAGGGTCACAGTTCGAAGCCAGCCCAGGCAGGAAAGCCCAAGAGACTTTTATTTTCAATGAACCACCAAACAGTCGAAATAGAGGGCTGGTTCAAGTAGTAAGAGCATTAGCCTTGAACAGAAAAGCTAAGGGTCCGCACACCGACCCTGAGTTCACGTCCCAGCACCAGCAAAAAAAGAAAAGAAAAACACCACCAAGTAATAGGAAGTAACAAACACTGCAGATTGAATGACTACAGCAAGGCTGTGTTCTGCGGCACCTGCCAGGGAAGGGGGGGCGGGGGACCGGGCCGGGGCCAGGAGCCCCCTTTCCTGTGTGTGGCGCTGGGGATTGAACCCAGGACTTTGTGCACGCTGAGTGCACTTCTTACTAAAATAATTATGTCTCAAATAAATGCAAGCCACGGGGGGGGGGGTCCCTCCTCCTCCTCACACCCGTTTAGGAGCTAAAAGAATGGTTCCCCTTTTCACTGCAGGGGGATGGAGAGGGGTTTTACAGAACAGAGCACCCGGTGCACGGGGGACAGCATCTCAGAGAAAGGACAGCAGGCGCGCCGCTCGCTGCCAATGGTTTCTGGGTCTTTCCAGCAGCTTTAAGGAAAGTGTGGGTCTTCCTCTGGAAAAAGGAGGGAGCTGGTGATAAGGTGATAAACTCCCGCCAGGAACTGCCCCACCCACCGCCTGGAGGTCCCCACTCAGGCCAGGAAGACACTTCCCCTGGCCTGCTAGAGATAGTACCCACATTACCCCCACCCCCACCCCAGCACGGGCCTGGGTCCGGCTCACCAAAGGAGGGCGTCCCACCACGACCTGTCCAGCCCGGTGTCCCACACGCTACCCCCCCCCCGCTGGTGACAGACCATATCCTGGCCCTGGCCAGGGACCCGTGGAGCTGCCTGGGCCATGTCTAGCATACCTCGTGACCCCACGATGCACACCCAGTCGGGGCCCAGCGGCTGTGCCTCACCCCGGCCTCTGAGCTCCTCACGGCCAGAGCAGGAGAGCGGGTCCCGGGAGCCCCCAGTGCCCACCCCACGAGTAACCTCAGCTCAGCCCAGGTCTCCTACCTAACTATTCAAAGGTCTCCCACTGAGAGAGGTTCCGGCGGGCACTGTAGTGCAATGCCTGAGGGCTCAGGGACCGAGCAGAAGAATCAAAGGTTCAAAGCCAGCTTAAGG